AGGTGCCATGGAGGAGTGAGCATCGGTAATGCCATTTTATTCTACAATGTATAATTAGTAATCTTATAGCATATACATATTGTGTTGTGGTTATTCCACAAAAATGACCAATGGATTCATTCAGACAGCAAGTTAATCCATCATTAAAGGAAAATGGTATGCCCCATATTAGCTATAAACATACAATATTCCAGAGATTATAGATTTTGATAAAAAAAAAAGACTAACAGTAGAATTGTAAACATGTGTATGCATTCTATGTTAAATGTTTCAATGCATCGTTTTAATTTCACTTTTTGAAACAAAATTTAATTTCAATAATGGTATTTCTTGATTTTTTCTCATATATTATTTTTAAAATTCATTTCATCCACAAGAACATGAAGTGACGGAAATACTTTGCACCTGTCCAGTATTCCTACAGTCTTTTTTTATTTAAAAGAAATGTTTATCAAATAAATTTTCTAGATATATAATTCTTTGACTTTTCATATATTTACTGTACAGACGTTGTAAATGCATTTAAGATTTGAAAATCTTTACTGGAATACATATTTTGTTTGGAGGGTGCCAATGTCCATCAAGAACTTATTTTCAGCATGTACATTGCGTTCTTTGTTTTCAATAATAGTACCATTAAAACGAGACTAATGATCCCCCAAATCTATTCAAAACAGAATAGGGGAACCTCCAGTTGATTCTGAGGAAAGGCACCTGAAGTGTGGATAATAACCCCCCCCCCCTTTTTTTTAAATAAAAAAATTAAAAAGTGTACAAAGTCTAAAAAAATATATGATTTCCCCGTCAAACACATGTATGTTTCGTTCTATACAAGAAGATTTTACTTTTTCTCTTACATTTTTTATTAAACAAATTGGGAGGGGGGGGGTATAATCCACACTTCAGGTGCCTGTGATTCTGAGGGGTTGATGGAGGGCTGGCAAGTTTTACCAAATCAGTTTTTTTTTTAATTTTCATGTCAATGAAGGACAGATTAATATTTATTTACACTGAATAGGTTATAGGATAGATTATTTATTTTCCTCTTCACTGAAAAGTCTGAAAAGGCAAAAAAATTAAAATGAAATTACTAAACTCTAATTCTTGGGAGGTAAGAGCACTGGTCTGAGCCAGATTATTTATTTCCTTTCTTCTCCAATCGTGAACAGATTATTTTTTTAACAGTTTCAAGAACAAAGTATTTATTTCTAACATCTGCTAGCACCCCCCCCCCCCTTTCTTCAGAATAAAATTGTCGTTCCCTTAACAAATACAGGAGTATACCAGAATAATTTCCAATTAGTTCCTAAAACCTATAAGTTAAACTTAGTTTTAATCTCTTAATAGTAGAAGGTTTGATTGATAGTCATTGATTGATTGAAGCTATCGATTGAATATCAATCATGATTGAATATTTCCATTTTTATCAACTATCAGTGTGTTACATGATGAATAGTGCGGCAATCATTAGACCTACATGTACGTGTCTGTAATACTATACACATTTTTTTTAGGGAATGCGGAAGGTTTGAAAGACTTTTTTTTAGACCTAGCATGCATAATTTACACAATGTAAAGAGAACGAATACAGAAAATAAAAAGAATTGTCAAGGATTTTTTTTATTATTAAAATATGATTCACACCCAGTCTGCATGTATATTTATTCAAAATTTACGAAGTAAACAAACTATATCAAGTTCTACATAGTTATATCCCATGCTAGGTCAATTATGCTTTTGAAAACTATAATTAGATTGACTTACCAAGATTTAAATAAAGTTAAATAAAGATTCAAAAAGTGCAAGGGCAAAGCGACATTCTAAAAAGTAGGTTTATATTTTAAATTCTTTTATTTATTGTATAATTTTCAAAACGTGATGCCTATTTCTTTGCAATCCCTTTGGTATTTTTTCATTCCCGATGAAATTAGGAAATAACCCTGTTTGTTAATTTACTACTGTCTGTTTTAGCTGTATAACTCAAATATTTCGGACAACTAACTGAATGAGCATTCACTTTTGAGAAAGTATAGATACATAGGGACAACCTTAAACATTGTGCAGTTTGCCTTTCTCTTGCACTTTTTGGTTGAATTTGACATTTCATTTTTTGAGTTAAAATCGGAGCCCACGTGACTTTAGGGGGTCACATGATGACAAGAAATACCGATGTAAAAAGCGATGGACATCTTCTTCTAAATAAGATAAAGCTATTTTAACTAGAGTGTCTTCGCTAAAAATAAAACTGTTAAACACTATTTAATAAAATGTATCGTATTCTGTGACTGTTTATAGAAAATGTCGCCTTAACTGCACTGCGTAATTTCTAAAAAAAAGACAGTTTTATGGTATTAATTTTATATAGAGTACATGTAATTACAGTAGAGGTATAATAATATACATTATAAGCAAACTCTAGCAGACCAAATATCTATGAAGTTAATGCGGCGTTTTCAAAGAAACACATATTCCAGGTGTACTTAATGTAGCTGCTTATTGCCTTTCTCGCTTACAGGTCCGGGGATTTCAGGACCTGTGTATAAATATCAACACAATGCCATCAGCAGTTCATTCAACAATGTTAACACCCTGAAAGACATAGCATCCATTCTGAATAATTATCTCGCTTCGACATCAAGGGCAGCTTATGAAAAAAAAAGTTTGATTTTTACTCTGACTTTATGTTAACTCACTTTGCAAAAGTCCCTTCACCACCCCCCCCCCCCCCTACAACTAGGCATTTGGCACATATTATTGATTTTTGTTTTCAAAGTAATATCGCAGCATTAACATTACATCAGGATCTTACATTTCGGCTCTAAGTTATTATTGCAAAGTTCAAAGTTTTGAAGACTCATCACAACAATCTGTGATTTGCAAACTCCTACAGGGATATCAAAAGCTGAACACTGTAGGAAGTGACACAAGATTGCCCAAAACAACGTCAATTCTGAAAAAAAGCTCCTGACCTCCTGGACAAGTTAGGCTTTCAGCTTATCAATGCGGTATGCCAAAGCAATGTATTTGGTGGCTTTTCAAGCTTTTTAAGGGTTGGTGAAATAACAGATTCGTCTTTTACGAACGTTAAAAATGTATTAAATCTTGCAAATGTAAAACTCGTTTATGATAAACTAAATTCCGATGAATTTCTTGCGATTACAAAGGATTATGTCAAACATAGTGCAGGCAAACATACCCGTATCCCTACGCTGATTCTACAAAGGAACGAATCTGATGAGCATTTGTCCTGTTTAGGCTATTCAGCTATTTCTTAAAGCAACAGGGCAGTCACCAGGCCCTTTGTTCGCATATCCAAATGGTGATGAATTACTTCGAAAATATTTTACAATTTAAAACAATGTCTCTTTATTGGGCGGTGTTTAATACGAGTCATTGTAAGGGGAACCGTTTTCGAATAGGTGCTGCGACATGCGCTGCAGTAATGGGAATTTCAGAGGAAATAGATAACGAATGGGAAGATGAAATTCCGATGCTATTTTTTGTAAAAGGAAGAGACAATTGACAAGATGTACAAAGTTTACATTTATATTGGCTTAACATTCTTATGAATTTTACATGAGAAGCAGTTTCTTCCTTTCTTTCTTTTACTTTAATACCATCACATCTTTTCTAATGAATAAAAGGATAACTATTTCCAAAGAATATCCATTTGAATTCCATCGGTCATTCTTTGACCCTACCACAAACTGAAGTGTCCTATTTCATGTTTTGTTTAACGATTTTGCAAATAAAAGAACCACGAATCAGAGGATTAATCTTTTAATTATAAGGATGAATGTTTAAAAGTTTACAAAAACAGAAAAGTTGTTAAAGAATTTGTGGAAGTTTTTGCACCATGATCCAATAGATCGGTTTAGACATTACAGAGGGTTTAGAGTGACGTCATCAATAACTATGTTTCCCCGTCTGGATTTCCCCGTGTAGGTCTCAAAGACAATCTAAATATAGAAGAAAAAATAATTATACCAATATTTCCCGCAAGGCAGTTTTTTTTTCTATGTCTAGATTTATTTTTAAAAATGTTTTAATATCAGTGTATTGTGACCCAAGGCCTGTTCAACAGAACAAACGTTCGTGAGCACTTGTCAAAATTCCTTTTACCTCAATAGAAATGTTCGAGAGCGCTCGATGTTTTGAACAGGCCTCAGGCTCTACAGCTTCGGAAATGATTAGTATTCTTTTATTTTACAATCAATTTTTGTAATACGAGCGAGCACGATATAAAAACAAATACGCAAAAGATGTGTATCGGTTTATTCGAACAAACTCATTATTCATGATTTTTTTTAATATTTAAATTTGAGAACATATATGATTTTTTTTTCATTTTAAATAGAGACACGATGTTCATTAATGTAACGTTTTGAGCTCTATATCCATAGATTGACGAATATAAGAATCAATGACATATTAATTAATACATGTACTATTATTACTAAAAGTCGTTATAAACACATACAAATTGTAAAATCTGAGGAATGTTTTATGTGTAGTGTAAATTATTGGTGAATAGATTATACAGACTTGTCACGTAGGCATGTTTCACGAAAAGTGCCTATGTGCAAGTCTACACAAAAATAACTCACACAAAACTTTAAAAGATTCCTTTACTCTTTACAACTTTCTGAATTGCTTTGCAACATACAATTTATGTTCACGACATAGAAATATGACGTTACCATTTCCCCGCAAGCACTTTGATTTATAGCGTGGAACAAGTTTCTCTAAGGATTAGAGTAAATAATATTATGACGTAGTTTTCTTTTGAAAAGAAACTATTTTTTCTTCCTTTAAGAGATTTTGTCAAGTATTAAATATATAGAAAGAAATTTGCATTAAATTGAAGATTTAATAAACTTTTTAAAGTGCGTGAAAATGCCTGATTGTGGGGAAACGGTTATGCGTGATTTCGCCTCAGAAAAATGAAATGGTGTATGCATGACTGAGGAGAAGGGAGTTTCTTATCGCTATTAACTGACCCTTGTCTCTTGATCTAGGTGGATATCCAGTTGTGCCTTGTACCATTTGTTTCTCCGCTTTCCACTCACAAAAAACACTTTTTGGTTGTCTGTTTCACCTCTTGATGTATAGATGGAGAACGTTTTCATTCCTTCACCCTTTATATAGTAATACAAACACAAACGGTACGTCTTATCTAAAACAAAATTATAAAAAAAAAGTGCTTATTTGGTCAGAGGGTTGTGAGCATTTTCAGACCATTTTAATCTCTTATTTTAAAGGGAGCTCAATGCAGAATGTACAAAATTTATGAAATTATGAACTTCATGCCTTTGCCCTATATATAGAAAGTATATTTCGTTTGTTTTCTGAGATATTTGGATGATAATATGGGATTATGTTTACTTTGTTATCATGTTGTTTTATATACATTTTAGGGTGGGTTGATAGGGATTCCTAGATTCTTTTATTGCAATGATTTTTTAATGCTTACTGACCTGGACTGGATTTTATTACAATGCGATAAAATTGTACCAGGTTTTAGAGGAAAACGATGTTCTGTATCATAAAAATGGGCACATATGTCCAATATATTTTTAGACTTATATTTAGCACACTTATATATGTGGAGATAATTAACAGCATTCGGGCTCAAAAGTAACTTAAAGGTTACAAAATAGGAGCGAAACAAACACAAATCCCACAAATGAAGTGCCATGGAGTGAAAGCATCAACGGCATTTATAGATTATTACCGAATAACAGTTGTGACTAGGTAATGCTGGACACCGAAAAAAACGTGATTTATAATTATAAAAAATAAACCTCAAGTTGCAAGTTTTTTTTTCTTTGAGAAACTTTTCAATTACAAGACATCGATGATCTTTAATACTTAACATAGGCACAAACAAAAAACAAACTCAGAAAAATACATTTTAAGAAAGAAAATTTTCCAGGAAAAAATTAGGATTGAACCTCTAAAAAACTGAGAAATTCAAAATGGTTATATAGCAAAATTATGCTGGAAAAAACATATTAGATTTAAAAGATACAAAGATGATTTCTATGTATGGCCAATTAACCGCTGTTTCCTATATAGTCAGGAACAAAATATTTTTAGCTGAAATATCAGAGACAAAAAGTAAAATAAGTCTCTGCTTGTTAGTTGCCAGATGGAATTCCGTTATTCTATACATTGATACTTTATCGGTATTTATTTTGTTTGTCTAAGTATCGCCACTGCAACACCGTATACTAATTACTAGTTAATACTGATATCAAATAGGTGTTTTGATGTTTGGGAGATCCGTGTTTGCCCTGCTCCTATTTTTTTTTATTTTTAGGAATTTTCAAGCATGTATACTGTTCGTTATCTCCAAATGTTTCATAAAATAGAAAATCTCATTAACGTCGAAATTTTAACATTTTATATGCCTTTACGATGATAAGTACATCATGGAAATTTGGAAATAACTACCTTCAAATTTCATCCCTTTGCCGCTGTAGAGGCGATACTTCTTTCCAGTTTTGCCACAAGATGCGTCAAAGTACAGAAAATAGTCCCCTCCATATGCTCCTTTAGGAGCCTTTGCAATTGCTTTCACTCTCTCCTGAAACATAACCATAATATAAACGAGAAATTTTCTTTTTTTAATGGAAGGAAAGCAAAGAAAAATAAAATAAAATTAACCCTTCACCATATCGAAAAAGTTTTAAAGCAAGCTTTTTTCTCAGTAAAATATTTCATATGTAGAGTCAATACAAGCGAAGCGACCAACTGCATTCAATGACTTCTGCCGTACCTGACTGTAAAAAAAAAAATCCCACCTGTGCATGGTACCTGTATTAACGAGGACTGTGCAATCCGAATATCGACTGTGATTTTTTTGATAATTTTGAGTACGTTCATGCAATTAAACCTTGACAAATAACCGTTTATATCAGTTTCTATACCTTTTTTTCAATTACCAAAATCTACAAGCATATACAAAATGTATTTGTATTACTTCTTATTAACAATAATTATGAAGTGCAAGTTTTATAAGTAAAACACATACTGTAAGTCGTTTTAATTCCACGGTGTTAAAATTTCACGATTTCTCAAAAAGTGCCAATCGCGATGCTTTTCATTTCACGCTGCGAGAAATAAATTTGAATTTTGTATAAGCATTTAAACGTTTTTAAAAACTAATGATAGTATTCACGATGGGTTTAATTTCGCGGAAAAATGATGAATCGCGAACATACTGAAATTAAAACCATCGTGATTATTTGCCAATATACAGTATTCAGTACAAATATAAACACTTATTATTGATATTTATTAAATGGACATTAAAATTTTACGGAAAATCATCATAGTTTTATTGCTAAACACAATTTGGATCATACAAAACTCTTCATTTCTGATTTACATTCTTTTTATGAAAAAAAGATATTAAAAGCAAATACTGTTGGTCAATCTTTAATTATTTCATTGACTTATACCCATCGAAAGTTAAAGTTGACTTGTCTAGATACAGTTTTTATAGAGACCTCCGGTCATATTCGACTTATGGATGATTTGACTTTATCATTTTTATATATTTTATAAAAAAAATAATTTTATTTGAGGTACATATGTGCAGAATCAATGTCCCTTCCAGTATTCTAAAAGGATGAATATTCTCTTTTACAACTTAATGCAGAGTTCCTAAATTATACATTAAGAATAAACTACATGTGTATATGCGGAAGGTTTAACAGTATCAGAGAGTCAGAGAAATTAGCAGAAGTGTCTAGCAGCCAGTCAAGGATACTTAGATATATTATAAGTCCTAAATCCTCATACTTTGTTCTTATAAAAATTTCTATTTAATGATACAAATACAAAAAAAGTAATATAAATTATTTTTTATACAATGAAATCCCTCATTTCCAATGTTTTTTTTTTCCCATTGTTTTCGAGGTATATAGAGACCCACAAATTTATTACTATCACGAAATGTAAACTTTCATATGCATTGCCTCTTAAAATTCCTACCACGAAATTAAGTCGAAAAAAACCTATATTTCTTTCCTCAATCCTGGCAAAATTGACCCTAAGAAAGTATGTGACTCTACATTAAATACTTTGATTTGGAAATTTTTGTCACATAATCATTTTCTTTCAACTCAGAACGGTTCAGTTCTTACAAGACATTTCAGCTAATTATATCCTACCTTCCCCCGAAACCAGCAGCTTTTGTTTATATCAAAGAAGCAACGTGCTTCATTGTCTATTTCAAACCGGCATGAACGATCTAAAATAAAAAGATTTAATATCATTGAAAATAAACAATACGTTTTTGTTTCATAAATGGATTTTGTGAGTCTTCGAAAGAAGGTTTTAAATGAAAAAAAAAACTTAATACAAATTTTGTTGATCATGTAATAAAATCAAGAGAGGGTCGATGGGCTTATTACTAGACTTGATAGGTGATAAATAATCCCCCGAGTTTAAACTTTCATATATTTATTCCATGTTTTAGAGAACAGACCATTTCAGACACCACGTGACGTAAGGATTTTCATTTGATTTGCTACTAATTTTCATAGTACTGAGTTATATTGGATAGTAGGTTTTAATCTTCTTTGAGAAATAGATTTGTCTCCTACAAAAATGTTTGTAAGCTTTAAAGATAGAGATTCCCTTATGGTCTATTTTGACCTTTAAAAAAAATCAAGCAGCTCAATTCTTATTGACTATGTACCTAAGATCACTTGGATCACCTAAATGTCTGAAAAACTGACGTAGTTTGCTTCTAGGTTATGCAATATGAGGTAATGATATGTGTCATTACACACTTTTAGCATAATTTGAAAATTGCTTTGTTTACCGTTTATTTTTTTAATGCAATTGCTTATATTGAACATCGGCAATAGTTAAATCTAAAATTATATACTTAAATGAATGATTAAATCAAAGAAAACATCACTGTTTCAAGCAGATATAATCCTTAAAAATATATAAAGTTTTTACATGACATAAATTAATAGAATCTTTGATGTGTATGTATACGTGTATATGCTTTAGAGAATGATATTATTTTAGATTTCTAAAAATGAAATTCCCACGCCCCTATTGTTCTTTTGAAAAACATAAACTGTATAGAGAAAGTGTTAACTGTTAAGGAGAAGTATTCTTAATTTGATCTTTGATCTGCGTTATTTTTTTTTTTTATTTCAGTCTGTGTTAAAACAAATGATTATGGCTGTAGTCTCTATCTTTTTTTCAATGTTACCGATATTCCAAGTAAATATCAACACTTGTATGTTTACTAGGAGGGGCAGTAAAACGGACCAGTAAGTCTAAGTTTACATTGACTATAATGGTCAGTTTTGGACGTCTTTGATTAATCAGTGTTTCACAATTCGCCATGCTTATTCCATTAAAAATTTTATAAGCAATATCAATTCCAAGTATTTTTTAAAAGATTTGATAACCGGCGTTCCTATAAACAATTTACCTTCACATGTTATTCCAGAGAAACCCTTTGGACACGTGCAGGTAAAGTTGTTTGGCCCACTAACGCAGGTTCCTCCATTTTTGCAGGGAGCAGGAAAACAATAATCGACGACTGAAATTAAACTTATAGTTTGTTTATGTGTATCCACAATCGATAATGACTGTTATCACAGTCTACTTAGATTGTTAGCACTTTACAGTATATACTGGACTATAAATCGGGTCACCTATAAATCAAAAGTATCTTTGGGGGTATTTTTGGAGGAATTTCCCACTGACCCATTTATAAGTCGGTACAACTTTTTGCCAGAATCAGTTGACAAGCTCAATTATAATGATTAGATGTTTAAAATTGGTTTCAATTATTATTTTTAAAAATGACTCCATAATTCGAAATTTTGATTATTGCACAAAAAAGTTATACCAAGTCTCTGGTTATACATACCAAAACATTGTAATTAATCAAATATGAAAATAGTTGCACTTTATGTATGATATTAAAATAAATAATCTGAATTTTTACAAATACTACGTCATTTTAATTCGCCGTCAAGAAAACGCAATTTTTTTATTTCCACCATACGTTCGTCATAGAGTATTGATCCAAAATTTTATACCACAAAAACTGACTTATACGCAAGTGTATACTGTACATTTTGAATAAGAAGTCATTCTCAACTCAATGTTCACATTCCATTTCACATAATATTTACAATATATTTACCTTGTATTTCTCGAAAAAAAAAAGACAATTAGTATTTCTAGAAAGGATTTACCTTCACAAGTTGTTCCCGTGAAACCCGCCAGACAAGTACAGATAAGACTGTTTTGTCCAATGACACAGATTCCACCATTTTGGCAGGGATTAGAAATACAAAAATCAACGACTGAAATGTAATTTAAAATAAAATTGTTTAGATATGATACATGTAAGAATATAAAATGTAAAAAAAAAGCTTTATGGTACAGTTTTATGGTACAATTATTCAAGCGGATCAGTAATTCTCAGTTCATATATCAGCATCAACTTTGTCAGAGGAGAACTTTCTTGGCTTAGCACTTGACTGCTACTCAGTAAATCTTTTATATTACAATACACATGTATTCTACAATATCGATCCCAAGTATTTCTTTAAAAAATCGCATATTTAGTGTAGATATAAACGATTAACCTTCACATGTTGTTCCCGTGAAACCCGCTAGACAAGTACAGCTAAGACTGTTTTGTCCATTGACACAGGTTCCTCCATTTTGGCAAGGATTAGAAATACAAAAATCAACGACTGAAATGTAATTTAGAATAGAATTGTTTAAACGTGATACATGTAGGAATATAAAAATGTAAATAAAAAAGTCTTATGTCGTATGCTTCACTTAAACATCGACTCACTTTACAATTTACAAGTTTCTGCTATAAGTTATATCTTTGGTATACACAGATCTTGATAATGGTCTGTACAAATGAAATAAATTAAAAAGTTAATTATGAGCGTAGACTCGATATACAGCTGTTATCGCTACAAATTAATTTTACGAACAATTTCTTAAAATAATCTTTGATTTTCTTTTTCAATCCGGAGAAAAATATGGACACACACAGACCACCCTTTGACATCAAATTACAACAAAGACATGTATTTACTTCGACATTGATTTGACAAGGATATAGAGTGCTCTTAGATATAAAGTATGTACTCATTACATTTTGATAAATTGTTCAATAATTTTCATATTGATTATTTATTCATAAAGAGTTCTTTTTCAAATCAAGCATAAATAACTGATACCTTATTTACAGAAAAACATGAGTCGCGAGGAATCAAATGAGACCAGTCACAGACATAAGTGAATTATTGTTTGGAATTCCAAAATAAAAAGGGTATTTTTAAAAGAAATGAAATGAAAGATAAAATAAAAGATAAAAAGTTTCTTTTTTCTATCCTGAATTCTATTTATGCTCAAATGAAGTGCCAAACATTTATTTAATTGTTTCTGATAAAATAGTAGACTGTATGTTTTTTAAGACTAACAAATAAGACACTAATAAGCAATTTTCTTATAACTTGTAGGAACAATTATTCAAGCGGATCAGTATTTCTAATACATATATCAGCATCAACTTTGTCAGAGGAGAACTGTCTTGGCTTTGCACTTGACTGCTACTCAGTAAATCTTCTATATTACAATACACATCTAATACACCAAATCGACCCCAAATATTTATTTAAAAAATCGCATATTTAGTGTCCTTACACGAGAAGATATAAACGGTTTACCTTCACATGTTGTTCCCGTGAAACCCGCCAGACAAGTACAGCTAAGACTGTTTTGTCTGTTGACACAAGTTCCTCCATTTTGGCAGGGATTAGAAATACAAAAATCAACGACTGAAATGTAATTTAAAATAGAATTGTTTAAATATGATACATGTAGGAATATAAAAATGTAAAAAAAAAAAATAAAAGTTTTTTGTTGCGTATTTCACTTTTAGATCGACTCACTTTAAAATTTACAAGTTTCTGCTCTAAGTTATTTCTTTATTATACACAAATCTTGAAAATGTTGTGTACAAATGAAATAAATTAAAAAGCTAATCATGAGCGTAGTTTCGATGTGCAGCTGTTTCCCTGATTTTTACGAACAATTTCTTGAAATAATCTTTGATTTTCTTTTTCAATCCGGAGAAAAATATGGCACAGACAGACCATCCGCTGACATCAAATTACATGAAAGACATGTATTTACTTCGACATTGATTTGACAAGGATATATTGTGCTCTTTGATATAAAAATATGCTCATTAAATTTTGATAAATTGTTTAATAATGATAATACTGATAATTTATTCTGAAAGATTTCTTTTTTTTCAAATTAAGCATAAATATAAGTGATACAATATGTACAAAAACATGGTTGGTGAGGAATCAAACCAGACAAGTCCCAGACATAGGTGAATTATTGTTTGGAATTTAATAATCTAAAAGAGTTTTTCTTTAAGTTCTGAATTAAAAGATAAAAAAAAAAAATAAAAAATAACTTTTGTTTTCGAACTTGAAACTTATTTGTGATTAAATGAAGTGCCTAATATTTATTAAATTGTCTGTGATGAAATGGTAGCTTTTATGTTATTTAAGACTAACAAATACGACATAGGGAAGAATCCTTTTTATAATTTTGCCCCAAGTGGGTCTTTGTACTTAATTAACATGAAGTACAATTCAAACTGATAACAATCAACAAAATCGTTTTTTTTAATTTTTATGATATACATGTTTAACTATATATTCAATAAAATAATCTTTCTATGGTGTATTATTAACCAAGACATATGCATAATTACGATATTTACGACATAGGGCTAGGAAAGTCGACGGTAAAACGGGATCGCCCGTTTCAAAGCGACATCACTCCCTTAAAAGAGCCAACTGACAGAAATTTTAAAACATTAACAATCGCCGATGTCGCAACTAGGCCAAATATACATTCTCAAAAGCGGTCCAAACAATGCCACCTAAAAGCGCCGTTCGAAATGTGTTGACAATCGATCGACGTTGAACGAATCGTTTCCGAGAAATTGCGTGCACAAAATTGGCAAGAAAAAAAGAATAAGAAAATCAGTAGAAAAGAAACCTAAGCATAAAAAGAAGGTCTTCCCCTAAAGAAAAAAAGACATCAATAATAATAAGAGGGAAAAAGAAACGGAACAAAAAAATAGGGTCTTACGTTGGAAACGAAGACCTTAATTAAAATAGTGTAATAGAATCCTAAGTATAACAAAAAAGTCTTTCTCTGAAGACAGCAGACCTTAAAAGTAACTAGAGTCAAGCTCCTTGCAAAGAAACGGGTGCTTCTTCCGTCGAGTTTGACCGGAAGTGATATTCATATTGATTAACTTGAAGACGTCTCTAGTTATTGTTATCCTTCTTTTTTTAAAGAATTTCATGGAGATGTCTTTTTTTAAAAAAAGAATCCACTAGTAACCGCTTACGGTTTGACCGGAAGTGATGTCAACCGTCCAAAACTAAAGTCTTAAGTCAATCATGACTTTAACTATTCAATGCAATACTACTACCCATAAAAAATAAATCTTTTAATTTCTGACTACTTCCAGTTTGACCGTGATATGATGTGATGTCGATCTACGATTATTTTAATATGGAATTTATTTCTAACTACCAGCATTCATCGTAATCATGGTCATGTTTTGAAGGAAAAAAAAATAAATAGATAAATGTATATCTTTTTAGAAAATATTTTCCTTACATAAAAGAAAAATTCACGAGCAAAAACAACAAATCCATAATCTTTATCTGTTTTAATCTTCAATAACAGAAATCACTTGATTAAAAAAGTCGGACTATTGAAATGAAAAAAAAGTTATTGATCCACCTATTCGTCGGGCATGTGAACATGCATCTACCGAGATCTTAACGTTTTTTTTTATTGCCAACAATGTTGTCCAAAATATTCCATATTTTTTATTCTTCGTTTTTTAACAAAATTTTATTGTAAGAAAGATTTCTTTTCAGGATCGATCACTTTTAATTATCTTCACATTTTCACATTTCATACATACAGACGCTAGAGGAAATTCGAGCATTAATTCTGACATCAATTTCTGTACAACATCGTGCGGATTGTAGCCATGGTACAAAATAAAACATCTTTAAGAAACTATGCTAATGCCATTTATAAGTGCTGAATATTTTTCTTACATCACGTTTCTTAAAAATAATTTAATTAATCGGACTTCTAATTACGGCAAATAGAGCCGGTTTCTTTCTACAGATAAACGTGGACGATATAACACTTACAAGTAACAAACAGCAGTTAAGGTAGAAAAGAAATATTTTATTATGTCAATGTTTTAGTAATTTACTTTCAATTATTTTTTGAAATAAAATTCAAACATA